AATAAATTTATATAGTGGGTCTATTTTTGTAATTTTAATAAAAAAAAAATTTCATAAATTTTTAAAATTTTAAAGTATAAAATGCAAAAAAAAAAAAAAAAAAAAAAAAAAAAAAAAAAATTCAGTAGGGATGAATTAAAATTTTAGTGGGGTCATTTTCATAAATTCTAAAAAAAATAGAGGTATAAAATGAAACTATTAAGAATCTAGTGGGAGTGTGCCCCACTGGTCCTATGTTAAGTCCGTACCTCTCTCTCTCTCTCTCTCTCTCTCTCTCTCTCTCTCTCTATATATATATATATATATATATATATATATAAAAGTTAAAGCAATTCATTCACGCACTTCTGTCTCCGGTCTCTACATATATTCCGACTATATCTATTATATATATATATATATATATTCTTTTTTTTTGTGAAAGGTATATATTTATATTGTTCCTGTATCATTTGCAATGCTTCAGATACACTTTTTATTGTCCCAAAATAAATATCTCTTTTAAAAATTTTAAAAACTAATTTTTATAATATTATCAATTTAAACTTAATTAGATTCCAAAGAGATTTTAATTTGAGATAGAGGGAGTAATAAAAAAGTCATTTATAAAAATTAATAATTAGATAAAGAGAAGGAATTTATATGCAGACCCTGAAATATTGCTCCAAAAATTTTCACAAAAACGAAAAATACTACTACCAAAATTTTTGGATTCTGATATTTTCAGAAAACAAAAAAAGTCTTTAATGCCCTCTCGAATAGCCACGAAATTACAATATATATGGCCATTTAAAAACAACAGAATGTCCAAGCATGCCCTTATCCATCTTTTGGTGTTTTCGCTCAAAAGCATTATGCTTAGACGGTGCAATGGTGAGGAGGACCTCTTGGTTCATAATTATGAAAAGAGTTATGTTGCCACACCAATACCGAACAAGGTACAGAGTTGTGAGGTTAAGAATAATAGAATAAATCATTACGAGAGTGAGGTGAACATCTTTACATTGGACAATGCTATTCTTGCTGATATAAAATGGCCGAATGTACATGGATGTCACTTTAGTGGCGAACATAGGGTGTCATTTTAGTGGATCAGACGGCAGAAGTTTCGGTCAACTCAGTCGGGGTTTTTTCTTCTTTATCTCCTTTCACATTTGGTTAACCTTCTTTGTGATAGCAATTGAATCACTATTTTCTCTACCCTCAATTTTTGTTTTGATGTGATCAATTCAATGATAAAAAAAGCAAAGGTATCTGTTAATTAACTTAGTGGGGGTTGAAATCTCTGAAATAGACGTTTATGATTTTTTCATCATTCGAGTTTTAGCCGTTCAACCAATTAAAACGTTTTAATATATTTTTATAGACAAATTATGTTAAGTCTCTTCGACTCGTAGCGTTTTGTAGTAAATCTTTCAACTAAATTTTCTTTTTTGTCAAAACTCCCTCCAACTAATTGAAGGGGTTTACTTTTGAATTAATGCCAAAAATACCCCTACGAAGTCAGGAGGGGAGTTTTATGCAATTCACCCCATTTTCATTTACCCTATAAAATCAAATCACCTTTTTAAAATCTCGGTTCAAAAGACATTAGGATTGACCGATTACTTATTGTAGTGGATTAAAATTAATTTAATTTTAGTCACCATTTTCTTCTTATCTTCTTTCACATTTGATTAACCTTCTTTGTGATAGCAATTGAATCACTATTTTCTCTACCCTCAATTTTTGTTTTGATGTTATCAATTCAATGATATAAAAATGTATAGGTATACATTAACTAACTTAGTGGGAGTTGAAATCTCTGAAATAGACATTTTCTGACTTCTTCATCATTCGAGTTTTAGCCGTTGAACCAATTAAAATGCTTTAATATATTTTCATAGACGAATCGATTAAACCTTCTAACTTGTAGCTTTTGTAGTAAATCTCTCTTCTAATATTTTTTTTCCTTTGCCGAAAACTCTCTCCAACTAATCAAATAGCTTTACTTTTGACTTAATACCAAAATACCCCTACCAAGTGAGGAGGGGGTTTTGTGCGGTTCACCCTATTTTCATTTACCTTACAAAAAAAAATCTTGCAGATCAAATCACTTTTCTGAAATCTTGGTTCAAAAGAGGTTACGATTAATGTTGGTTCAAAAGAGGTTAGAGTCACTGCTTAAAAGCACTTTTGTTTTAAAAAATAGCATTTAGATGTATTTCATAGCCAATTATTAAAAGTGCTTTTAATTGTTACTAAAATCTAATTCAGTATAATTTTTGAATGAAGTTAAAATTTGGAGTTTTCAAAACTACTGAGTAGAGATTGAATATTTTAAGTAACTCTTTTTCATTAAACAATTTTGTCCTTTTTATTTTTTATAAAGACAATTACACTTCTTCCGCAATAGAGTTCTATTATCAAATACGATAACATCTTATTAAATAATATTATTGTAAAATTAGCAATAGAAGTATTTTAAAAAATATATATTGTTATCAAATGATTTTAAAAATAATTTAATTGTGAAAAATATTTATTATAATGTGTCACCAAACACCTAAATATTTTTACTTACAGCAATTTTTTGACAGTTCTACAATTAAAAGCATGTTTTTTAAATTCCAACAGCAACCCAAATAGGCTGTCTCTAAATGCAGAGGATTAAAATTTAATTTAATTTAATTTATCATAGTGGAATTTTTTTACCTTCAAGTTTAGATTATGATTAGCACAATAACAATCAGAAGTCTGCTAGTAAATAATGACCAGATAGAAAATTGACCTGTATAATAAGAAATTGTTATGCACATTAAACAAGAGTAATTAATGGAACATAGATAGGAATATGAAATTCCCTAGGGTTTGATTGGGGATGATGAATACACCCTAGTTGCATCATAAAATGGCTTCTTATTTTAGAAGGGGTGGGTTGCTTTAGCAAACAACAAATAGTGCAGATCAAGCAAGTGGGGTTTCTGGGGCGGTTTGTGGGACTACAGAAGTTGTGCTGCTTCCCCCACACACTAAATGCCACAAAACAAGATTTTCAACCCTCCAATCATACTATCACACACACACATATATATATACGTGTGTGTATATATATATATATATATATTTATGAATATATCAACAAAAGGAGATAAGCATGATGATAATGAGATAACAAAGCTTCTAGAGAAGGGGGCTATATACCAATGGTTGATAATGACATGTCTCCTCACACAAATCTTGATGTCTCCCTCTCCCATCTTTAATTCCTTCCTCAAATATCAGACATAGACTGCTTCATGATTGCCTTTGTAGGGTTTATTCCATTTGTCTGTTCTTGTTCTATTAAATAATCAACTTAGGAAGACAATGTTCAGCTTTAGAGGTTTTGATATTTTGACAAGGCAAAGTGTGGGAATACCATGCTACTGCCTTCTATTGGTTCCACGTCAAAAGTAAACCTAGCTATTAATCTCTTGAACATAACTGCCATTGCATATTCTACGCATTGCCTTTTCTTTTTCCTATAATTGATTGTCTTTGCTTTTTCTTTACAAGGTGGTTTTACACTTCTAATTGTTGTTTATTTTTATAATTAGGTTAACTACTGTTGTTATTGCTGTGAAAAATGCTATTTTTTTTTTTTTTTTTTGATTTAAACAAGTGAATGTTGAACTCAACTCTTAACAGTCAAGAACAATAACCCTGTTTACATTAAACAAGTTATACAGACATTAAACAAGTAATACAGATTGTCTAATACTTGTTTGGGTCGTGTTATACAAACGTAGTAGTTATTCATTTATTTTGTATTCTCGATTTAAAGTAGTCTTACTTCTTATTGAATGTTTCTTATAATTTATAAGACAACGTTTTCAAAGAATAAATGAGTTTGTTAATTAGTTGAAAATTGTTAAAGTAGCTAAATGTGGTAGTTTAAACAGTTAGATGGTGTTGCTTGTCTGTTTATTTAATTCCAATACCCTCCCGGGATCTACAATTTGTTGTAGCATTTGGCAATTCCTTTGTAATGGCATACAGGTTTGATCCTGGTAGAGAAATGACTTCTATATTGTTTTTCTCAAGTTTTTTTATCATGGAAAGCAAGAATTTGACAAAGTCTTCCTTCTCGCCTCGTCATTCTTTTTGTGTAATTATTATTATTATTATTATTATTATCCTGGCAATAAGAAAAACAGTTATACGGCACCTACAAATACTGCCATAAACGGCCGTACAGAGGCCAAAAAAAAAAAAAACTAGCTTCAGATTTGTTGGAAAATACCAGCAGACCACCAAGGGAGAAAAGCAGCAACGAGAGTGACCCAAAGGTCAAGCCATCATCAAGACAACGATTCCAAGGCTGCATCCACAAGGCGCCACCGACCGGGGGAAAAACCACCCAAACCCCGCATTAAAAGGCGAGGACAACAAAACCTGACATAAATCAGAGATCTAGTCGGAGATAAAACAACAGATACACCCCGTCGAGCCAGAAACAAACCAAACAGGAACAGATTTAGCAAAGCAACAGCAAAACGACGTAAAACCCACCCACTGAGCGAACTTATTACAACACGCCGAATTTATTAAGCAGTGAGAGGTAAGGATCGGCACGTCCCCACTCCCATGGGAAGGAGTGGGGAGCAAACAAAAGGGAGAGAACGAAAGCGGCTGAAGGGTTAGAGAGGCGATTTGTACAGATCTTGAATCCATTCTTTTTGTGTATGAACTAACAAAATAACGTAATGTAATGCTATGTTTGAGAACACCAAATCAACACCTTGCATTTGAAATTAAAGTTTTGCTGTCAATTTTAGTCAAAAAAACCTTATTTAATATCTTGGCCCTAAGGTCTTCTAAGAGAAAATTAAAAGACAAGATATTCCACTGCTCGATTCAAACACAAATTACAATACAAGGGAATTGCTAAACGCTACTACATAATTTCATCTACCAAGCAAAACAAGAAATTTAAATAAAGTAAACAATAAAAAATAAAGAAAATGAGGACGAAGGTATGCTCAAGGAGGAATGTATACCAGCTTCCAACATCACTAAATATTATTGAACATCTCGTAAAGATATGAGAAATAGATACAAAGCAATAGATACAATTCAGAGAGCTTTAAAAAAAAAAAAAAAAAAAGAAATACAAGAGAGATCAAAAGTAAAACTTTGCCTATGTTGTTTTATATATTCCTACTTCTGTTGTGAGCAGCATAATAAAACAAGAACCTCAAAGAACAGAACAATATAAGCCATTCATTTTTTGCCCTAAAGGAAGTTCCGTTGAAAGGATCCCGAAGAAAACCTGGAAGTCAGACCCTGAGACATGTTATCAGCGTCCAATTTTACGCTTTGCCGTCCAGCTGTCAAGTCCTTCTCGCGATCCCAAGGCTTCCATGGATGCTGCCCTTCCCACTCCTCTTTTGTCAGCGGCTCCTGCTTGGATTTTCTTTTTGACCGGCTCCTAGTATCCTCTTGGTGCTTTTCTACCAATGACTTTGATCGTTTCGCTTTGTTGTATTCATCTACCAGTTGTGCATCTGAATTTGCCCTTTTATTGTCTTCTTCTTTCGAAGCTAGTGCTGCAGCCTCATTATAGGCTTCTAAATAACTGTCACATATGAAACCACGCAAGTCACAAAAATCCATTTCCAAAGTCAAGAAAAATATGAACCACATAAAGAATTAAGAACATCCTACTTCATCTTTGCTTTCTGAGATTTGTCTGTAGGGGTATCCGTCCAAGCACTGGTATCACCTCGCCCTTTAGAGGTCCTGCTAAATTTAGTCGTTTGCGAAGTCACACCAGGCTGAGAAGAAGAAACCAACAGGACGTCAAGTTACTGGCGAAAATTACTAGTGTAGAAGTTTTCAGGTCCACTATAAATGAAAATTTTTCAAGGTGTTTTGTTGCTATAACTCATTATGTATCTGTGACCCCTCCAGTTTGAAGGATTGATTTGTACCTTCGAACAAAATAAAAAACAGAAGTAGACAATCCTATTTACAGCAATGGCATATTCATCTTTTGTAGTTCATATCACGGAAGCGCTAACAATTCCATGCAGTTCCTCATGCAGCAATAACAGGTGCTACAAAGCGTGCATGTCAAGTGGAACTTAAGTCTATATTGCAAGTGAAATCACAAAAAATGCATCCATCTGTTTCATATAAATCATGTCCAAGCTTTTAGGTTATACCCACAAGAAAATGCTTCTAAAACCAATAGTTGTGGTAATTTCCATTAAACAAGGTTATGCAACACAATGCGAAACAACCAAAACTTAGGCATGCATAGAGCTTTTTATAATTTTGCTTTCGATTGTTACAGCTTAATTCATATACTTCAGGGGGGGAAGCATGAAAAAGTAAAAAGAGCGCATTACTTTTCTTTCTGGAGGTAATGTCGTCATCCATTCATCTCTCTTTGGTTCCACTTTCACGTCTAATTCTGCCAGCAGCTCATCATCACCCTCCATGGATATACCTGCCAATAGAACAGCTTTCTTCCACATCAACAGGAGTTTTAACAAGTCAAGAAGTATCTACTAAAGTAAGAGAAGACGGCCCCAAGTTCCATAGACTGCAGCAAACTAGTAATAAGCGTTATACTGCTTGCCAAATGAAAATAAATGGTCCAGTAGCTCTGAGAACAACAAACATATTCATTCACTATCCATGTAGATATTGACATCAATGACAGGAATCAGCCACCAAAAGACAATCTCATGTAGTCAACATAACCACATCACAAGAACCTAGAATTACTTCAACACGAGCATGATGACACTTACCTTTGGAAGGAAAATGCCTTGGGCAATAAAAGTGGAAGTAATGCACATAGCACACTATTCTTGTCGTCTGTTAATAAGAGGACGGCTGAGAGAGCAGTGAGGAGTCCTAAGGATTTGGGTAGAGTTTAGAGGGAAGATCTTTCAACTACAATAATGGTGCAGAGGCACTCTTTAAGTGAGCAGTGACAAGTGCTTAAATTTGACATAATAATTAAGGCTATGTTTGCTACGGTGGGAAAGGAAAGAAATGATAACATTAGTTATGAGGGAAAGGAAAGGGAAGGGAAGGATAATTTTAACCCCCTATCGTGTTTGGTTGATTAATAAAGGAAAAGAAAGGAAAGGATAATAATCATGTTTGGGAAAAGAGAAGAAAAGAAAGGAAAGGAAACTATTTTAATAAATTTACTATTATACCCTTTTATATTTTAAAAGATAAATTTAACTATGTAATATAAAAATAATATTTTTAGGGCAAATCATTTTAGCCTCCCCAATCGCCTCCATCTCTATTCTAGTTCTCAACTCTGAACTTGCCCTCTCTCTCTCTGCAATTGCAAACTACAAAATCTACAAGAATCAGAAGTTCAAAACCCATATATTTCAGTTAATCTATCTGTCTGCAAGAATCAAAAGTTCAAAACCTATTACCTATATCAAAACCCATATCGGCATATCATTTCAGATTGTTCAAAAAATCAAAACCCATATCTTTCAGTTTCCATCGCCCGCTGTTCCAGTTTGGGTTCGCCGTTCGCAAGCTTCAGCCGCTGTCTCTCAACTCTCAAGCTTGCCCCCCTCTCTGCAACTGCTAACTTGCACGTATGGGTTTTGTTTTAATTTTTTTCTAAATCAACTAATCAAGGTCTGCAATTCTTGTTTTGCAAACTAAAATCAAGTGTAATCTTGATTTTGTGTAAGGGTAAATTTGGCATCAGAAATAATACATCAAGCCTCTCCTTCCCTTTCTTTCCATTTCCTCCCATTTTTGGGAGGATAAGAAAGTTACTGCTTAAGTCTAGGGATATCCTTCCAAAACCATCCCTTTCCTTTCCTTCCTCTCCAACCATTTATGCCAAACACAATTTTTTAATCACCCTCCATCACCTTTCCTTTCCTTTCCTCCCTTTTCCATTGCACCAAACTGACCCTAAATTAATTGAAGGTCATGGGAAAGAGATCTATTGCTCGTTCATAGGGATCAACTGCAGAGATGTCTACTTTAGAACATTGAAGTTGATTGTAGCTGTCTCCAATATTTCAGTCTTCCCTTGAGTGGCAATTCCAGAGCTCTTAGCTTTCAAGGGTGTAGATGGTGTGGAAAATAGATATACTTTCTTTTTGGAGGAACAAAATCACTTGCATTCAATCTTGCTTGACTAACATCCTTTCTATATTTGCCTTTTTGTTTAAAATTTCAACTACATTTGAATGTGAATTTAAATCACTTGCAACCACTCAGAGTCACAGAAGCACCCTGGACACCATTTGATTAAGTGGAAATGGTTTTGTCCTTAGAATCTTAGGAACAAAGGCATTGGAAAACGGTTGTGGAATTTTCCAAATGAGCAAAACTGACTTTTGACATTGTACAGTTTTTAGGAAAAATTAAGTGTTGCTGCATCCTTGGAAAAGCATTTCTTAGGGATGACTGTATTTTTCCCCCTTAAACTAAATGTGTCAGCACAAATGTGAACATATCTCTCTATTTGGAAATGTTCATTTCACATTCGGCATTACTTCAATTTTCAGAGAGATTTTCAGCAGGCAATGCCATGTGAACATGTCTTGCCACCAATAGTAATACATGAATTATAATTTCCAAAGCTTTTCATCATAAAGAACTAAATTTCAAGTACGTTAATAACTTAATACAATAAAGTTTCACTTAAAATTAATGTAATGGATTTTTTTTTTTTTTTTTTTTTTGATAAGTGAAAAAATTGTCATTAAATGCGCTCAACAGGGGGGCGCTCCCTAAACAGCAAAAGATACCAAAGGCATCACTACAATTTCAAGCTGTCAACGAAGTCCAAAAGATTATCCATCCATAATAAACAATTACGCCCATTGACCCAAAAAAAAGAGGGAATACAAAATGTTGAATTTAAGAGACCTAAGTGGGGACTCCTTGCCATCAACGGATCTTTTGTTCCTCTCACCCCACAAACCCCACTATAAACAAAGTGGAGTTGCCCTCGATGCGTCTCTAACTCGGCTGTCCACTGAACACCCTCTCCAAGCCTCTAACATCTCCACCGTGGACCCTGAGATAGCCCAATCCACACGAAAAATGACCAAGAACATGGACCAAACATCCGTTGCCACAGGGCAATGCAACAAAAGATGGTTGACACACTCACCCGACTTCTTGCACTTGCAACACGAATTTATTGTAATTTGGTTACTGTAATTTGGTGTCTCCTTCTGAGGTTGTCAGAGTGAGAATGCTTCCAAGAGCAGCAGTCCACGTGAAAAAAGCCACCTTCAAGGGGGCTATAGTTGTCCAAACAGTCTTCCAAGGGAAGATACTGCTTGTTAACTCCATAAGGCTATGACAAAATGACCTCACCTCGAACACCCCTCTCGAGGTACCTGTCCACACCATCTCATCCCTACCCACCCCTTCCACCACTTGCCTATAAATCAACCCCATAAAATAAAAATTAATGTAACGGATGTATCTTTAAAAGAAAGGTATTCTCATTCGATCAACTAATTTTCATCCATGGAGACATCATCACGTGTCCAGTTCTGTCCTAAAGAGAAACCAATTTTTCCCCCAAGGAGACATCACCATAATCCAGTTCTGTTCTTAAGAGAAAAGCAAATTAATCTACTCATTCTCTCCTCAGAGAGAACAGAGAAAGAAATGCCAGATAAAAAACATGAGCGGCTAGCGCGAAAGGTTGCTTTACTAATATTAGCATAGTTGGCGCCTTGGCCCTTATTGTTTCTTGCTCATTGGTGCTTTTGTTTTCAGTAAGGGGGGGAGCTTGAAGAAGTAAAGCGAGCCTAGAGTAGCAGCCTATTACGTTTTCAGGCCCCTTTGATATTATATCAGTCAAGCGCTAGCGCTTTCCGCTTAGTAGTAGAAAGTCAAGATTTTCTGCTATCCATAAAATATAGAGAAAGGCGCGCACACATACACATGCGCACAGAGAACTTCAATTAAATACTGACCTTGCAGGCGTCTCCATTGTGCAGCCTCACGTAACACTTTCAACTCTTTCTACACAGGTAAAAACCATTCTGTTAATAATATTGATCATTAAGAAACTACCTCAACGTATACCTACGCGGCTACGCCAATAAAATGTACCTTAAATGCTTCCTGTTCCTCCTTGAGTCTGATTTTATCATCCAGTGCTTTTCGCTATTAAAAAACAGAGTCAGAAAGAAATCCCAAGATCAAACACTTTATTGACTAAAATTCATACAGAGTACAGAACAAATCCTCCAAAAAAAAGTTATATCCATTACAAGAGAAATAGTCTTACCCAAGACTAAAATATGACAAAAAGAAACAACAATCATCGTATGTCTGTACATAGTTAGTCAGCACTTGAACTTATTGAATGAAGTACAATGAAAACGAGCAATGATGCAATATTTCATCAGCGATCCAAATTTAAGGGCAAAAGGTGTGATGCCGCTTAATAACAAGAGAAGGCCTCTTCAATAGAATTAAATTTTGAATGAAAAAAAAAATTAAATTAAATTAAATTAAAAATATATAAATAAATAAATAAAAAATGGCTGATATTTTCATGTTCCAACAAATGAAAATAAATTGAACTGTATTTGATAAATACTAATAGAAGTACAAGTAACTGAAAGCCAAACCGGGTAAAGATCCTAAGGTGTGTCAGAAATTTCCATTGCCACTTCTTTTTGTGTTGTAATATCAGTATTCAGTAATAGAAGTTCAGAACAAGGGAATAATTTGCAGCCCTAGAAAAGCAAATGCAGTTCCTTTGCAAGAACCAGAAGTGATTTAAGGAACCAATTTCCCAAATATAGCATGCCAACTAGTTGCTCCCTTGATCAACCTTTCAATCGGTTCAAGAAATTTATCATAACCATGATTTCAAATTTCATTTCTGAGAGAAATCCAGATGTTGAATTCAGATTTGGGAAGTCCAATCAATATGAATTTGAGTAATTTAAGGTGAGGAAAGCTTGGCCACCAGACTAGACCAAAAACAATTAATTCAGAAAGTGACTGGTTTATATTTCCCCGAGTTGGATGAGAATTCAAACAAGTCAAAGTATTAGTTGAAATAACAAATGAAATAAAATGAATTCCAGAAAAAAAAAAAAAAAAAAAAAAAAAAAAAAAAAAAAAAAAAAAAAAAAAACTTACAAGCATGGTTCTTAAACACCTATGTGATGACCTTGATAAATGATAGCTGCCTATTCATTTCCTAGAGGTCATCCAATACACATCATACACATGATACTAGCTGCATTTTGGTGCTAAATTTTTCAGGAGCCGTACCACTCTAGGCAAATTTTCCATAAGAAATGTTTTAAAAACTTCATAATAAGAGCACTTCTTCTACTTTAAGAGTTACGACAAATGCAACAAACCCAAGAAAAAATCAAGAATCACGACAGAAAAATAAACACACCACACAAAGATTTATACGTGGTTCAGCAACAGCCTACGTCCATGGTTGAGATCCGGCGAAAATCTTCACTATGTGTAAAATCGGAGATTACAAGTTTTCAGCCCCTCACTCTGTTTATGTACAAATTTCAGAGTATCTCCCTTGCACCACTCCAAACCTTAAGCGCCCTTATATATCGGGCTACAAGAGACTAATTAGGGTCCATGACCCATGAGCAAAAGCGGGTCAAAATTTTTCCTTGTGGACAAGCCTTCAACGGGTAATTGGGTTATAAGCGGGTCGCAACGTGACCCGGCACCAAATTCGGGTTACAATAAGTAGTAATACTAATGAGTACAAACCGAAAAGGCAAAAAATTTAATTCCTATACTCATCATAGATCAGATGTCAAATATTTGCAAATAGAGACATTTATCATTTGGAAGATATTTTCATAATTTTATGCACCATTAGATTAAAGATGGTTCTTTCGCCTTATTCTTAGTTTTCAACTTTTCATGGTAGTATCTTCTCATGCTTTTATGCATTTGCTCAATTCATGTATTGGAATGGATCTCCTCTTACTTGTTATGCCATTCTACTTTATCCCAGTACGATTGTTTCTTATTTTAAAATATATAAATAAAAAAAATAAGTGAACCTTTTTGTGTCGTTCTTATAGTCTTTCACAGCAGCACAAGTCCCAAAAAGAAAATGGGACAAGGGTTGCAATGGAGCCTTAACAGCCACCAAGAGTAAATGAAAGAAAAGGCAAAGAATTCAAATAGCTGACCCACGTAATTGGGATACAGGGCTTTGTCCGTTAAGATTAAATTCGAGCAAGAAGTTAACATACTAAAAAAGCATATAGAGGTAACTAATATGTGATAACAATTTATTAAGAGTCAAAAAAAAAAAAAAAAAAAAAAAAAGGAAACACATAAACTCACTCTACTAGCATTGAGAACAACTTCCATTTACCAAAGATATCCATCATAAACATCAGAAAATTATATATATATAGTTAGACAGACAGACAAATAACGGAGAGAAATTTAGTCGTTTCCTAAATTTAAGTTCAATTATTAGAGTTGTTCATTTCTTTTCTTTTCTTTTTTATTATTACTTTTCCATCTTCATACCAAAGGATAAGTCACTAAACATATCTGATATTGTTTATTTTGATAAGAAATTATATCTTATTAGTTTACTTAATACATCTAAACAGATGTAGCTTATGACTTGTGTCAATATTTACATTCCCTAGCAAATAATGGATTTTCATTGCTGAATTATTCAGCAGTGAAATCATTATAAGCAATCAGTTATGTACAAGGAAATTTTTTATAAAAAAAATGTAAGTATGAAAGAAAAGGTTAAAAATTGCATTAGTTTCTAAAACAAGAATAACTTGGCAGTAAGCCTAGTAGGTGATTAAGAGCTAAGCAACATACGATGGCAACCCAGCCAAACCAAGCAAGATATTAAGCTTCACTCTGCAAAAAGATAAGATAAAATAAAATAAAACAAAATACAATAATTCTTGGAATAAAGCATTCAGTGAGTATAAGGATAACTATATCGTGATGGTAATTCAGCACTCAACAAAGTCCAATCTCAACATGATTGCTGGTCAGATGCGAGAATTATGGTTGTGTTGTTCTGCTTCATCCTACACCATATAATCTACTAAAATCTTATCATAACACCAAACTTTAAACAAAGGCAGGTTCTCCAAACAGGAATACATGCATTAACAGTGAATGAGCCATTGGCATTCAAATCAAGAAAGAATAGAACTACGCAGCAAGATCAAGGGCATAGAAAAGCATCTTTAAGTACACTAAGAAACCTTCGCAGTGTATGACATGCACCTTTTCTGGATCTTGTAAATCTTTAAAAGCTTTATTCAATTTGATAAATGCTTGATTAGCTTGGGGATGAGGGCATTTGTCTGGGTGCACCATAAGAGACAGCTTCCAGTACCTAAACAGACAATGAAACGGGAAGCTATAAGGTGAAGAAACAGCTTTAACAAATAGCAAATAAAAGCCATTAATGTAACTTACAAGTTGGCAGCCAAACAGAGACAAAAATAACAATCTAAAAAATAAGCAACTACTAGACAATTAACTGAGATGACTACATTAGACGTTTGGTTCTATGACTCATCTTACTGCACTAGCACAAGAGAAGAAACTTATTGTTTGACTGCAAGTAGCACATCAATGAGTATCGTGCACAACCTTCAAGAGAGAAACATTGCTTCTCAGAATTTCAAAAACATACCTCTGAGAAAATATGCCACGTTTACTATATTTTAACATCCTCAACATTTTTTTTTTTTTTTTTTTTTGTCTTCTTTTTTTTTCGGGATTTGGGGTGGGCGGGGGAGGAGGAGGAGGGGGGGTTACACATTATCAGTTCTACAATCCAAAATACAAAAATCTTCAGGAAAACATGCCAAGGACTAGATTCTGGCTGAATCATTTCCAAATGTCCAGAGGCATGTATCACCGATTATGGTTGAAAGAAATGTTTTAAAAAGATCACCAATCTAGTTGGTCTTTCACACCTAGTTTCTTTTAGTTAGAGGACAGTAAGTAACAACAGGAACTGGAATAATCTTTTCTCTAAAAACTACATAACTCGATGGCAACAGGAAATAAACTCCATGAAGAACTGGTTGGAAACCACCTATGAATAATGTTTACCATACAAATAGAGAGACATTCAGGACAAATATAGAGAATACAAGCTACAATCAACAATTTACCTTTTCTTCATATTGTCAGCTAACATATTTCTGTTCACTCCTAGAACATCATATGGACTGTCAACCTCGACTCCCATTATTCGTGTTACCTGAGCAAATAAACATCGAAAGCTCATAACTTATTGAATTCATACACGATTTAGTTTTTCAGGTACAACTATATAACACACTAACAGAAAAAATAAATTAATTAATTAAATCTCATTTTACAAATTAATGACGTACTACAATTTAAGATAAACACGTAAGCTTCCTATAAAGTAATATTTAGGCCCTGTTTGGGGGAGCTTTCAGTTTTTAAAATTACTTCCACTAAATTGGCTTTGAAGAATGTATTCTAATGAAAGGAATTTAAAACAAAAGGTTGTTCAGTCGGTAAATTTTTTGAAGCTCTTTTAACTATTAACAAAATTTAACTTGACAATTATATCCTTAATAAATCATGAATAATAGTAAAGAGTTGAATTGGAATGTACAAAGAAGGGAAGAAAAAAAAAACCATAATTAAAGTGATGGAGTGAAATTGCCAATGAAGCAACAACCATTAATTGGCATAATAAAACGAAAGAGAGAGATGGCAGCAAAAATATCCCATTTTTATTCTTATTTATAACTATAAATTACTTTAACAGCGAAACGGGTAGCCGTCAACAAAGGGAAAAAAAAATATATATATATATATATATATATATATATATTAGAGAAAAAAAAAGTTATCTAAAATTCTACATAGGGTTGAATTTTGGATGAGGGATCATAAATCTTGGAAAACGAACAAAGAAGATGATACAGAAAGAGAAAGATAAAAGTTTGCAATAAATTCATAAATGGAAATATGTTAAATAATGGACAATATACGAATTTTATATTTATTACTTAAAAAAATGTGTAACTTACTGGAAGTCGATCGGGAAGCATGTTTTATTAGCTTTGGTCAATCGGGCTTCTAAACCACTTATACTTTTTAAAAGTTCGTTTTTAAAAAATTTACCAAACGCTCTCTATTATTGGCAAAGGACTTTTTGAGCTTAGAAGCCCGTTTTGAGACTACAAGAAGCCCAGCCGAACAGGCCCTTAGTAAAACGCCAATATTAAAAGCTTAAATTTCTAGAGTTCTTCCTTCATTATGCAAAAGTTCCCAACTAAATGTAACACTATTATATTTTTATAAGCAACCAAATTGCAACATTTTTAATAGCATATCATCACTATTCAATATATAGGGTATAATAACTGCAATGGCATCTATAAGGGATACACCAATGCAGATAGCCAAAAGCTCAAAGTAAAGTGAGTTAATGACTTCTCATCTTCGTTCAGATTGCCGGAGGAATTTTTCTTTTCCTATTTGAAACTCACACACCCACTTGCCCGTAAGGGGACTTGAAACCTCAACTTTCTACTTTGGAAGGTGAGGAAATACCACTAGACTACAGCCCTTGGTAAGTAAGTACCACTAGATTGCCTGAAAATTTGTCATAGAATTAAGTAAAACATAAAGGAACATAAAAATATTCTTTGTCTTGCATGCAAGAAATTTTTTAGAGTTTCCTATTTTAGCATTAAAATTTACAAAATTGTTTCCACTTTATACATACACACATATATTCTAGTTCATCTGCAATAAAACTCTACAAAGTGAAACAGGAGTAGTTTCTTGCATCTAGCCCCAGAAATAACCAGTTCATGCTCAGTTCCTCGGCAATAAGATAAACAGGAAGCACACAACATATGACAATTGTAGTAGAAATGTTGTATTTAGACTTTCTTCTTAAATGCCATAACTGTTTCGAGACCAATGACATACAAATGGCCATGCCTTGTTACAATTCTTCAATCTAAACTTTGAAATAGAAGAAGATTTCAGTGAGTCATATGCTAAAAGTGTGAATGAAATTAACGACTGCTGGCTGAGATGATACCTAGATGATGAAAAAGATGTTGCATTGGAGATAATCCATAAGATAGAATGCAAAAAGAATATATATCTAGACGTCATCATCAGAAATTTCAGAAATTTTGCATTCGATATTGATCAGGTCATGAACCAGGGAAAAGAATTGACCCAAACAAATGTGGTAAATTTTATGAACATCTAAAAAAAGTAAAAGAAAAAACAACAGATAACAGAAATTTGCAGTGATCTGTATCCACCATTATCTGGAGGTCAATAAAAATTAATAATGTAAAATTTCAAAGCACCTTCAAGAACCAGATAATACATGGATTAGAAAAATATTATTCTCAATTTTAATTAATAGTTTTGAGAAATAAGAGTTAGGAACCTCTTCAAAACGCTCCGCCTCATTCGCTGACTCAGCTTCAATAACCAAAGCAGGTGGTGGAGGTCCAATAAATACTCCAGTGTCTTCCTCTAACTCAGCCTCCCTAGATATTATTATTAGTGAACAAAAACATGGACATATCAATTAGGATTTACATGTCCTATCAAGTTCTGAATTTAATTACAAAATATATGATATGCAAGAAAATTCTAAACACATAAGCACCTCAGAAAATAATTTTTAAAAAATACCTAAGATCAGCTTCTGCTTCTGTTAATTTGGCTGCAGCAGCAAGTAACTCAGCAGATGGCATCTCAGGGCCAATCGTCCTGCAAGAGTCATCAAGTGTTCAACTTAATACGGAGTAGATAGGGAGAAAAGGGCTTTAAAAAGCAAAAAATCCAAAATCATCAAACAACTACATCAACAAATTATAGGAATGGCTACATAATATGGATATATAAATCAAGCACAATATAGTTTTTGAGGTCAAACTTAATTACAATTGGTTGAATATATTCAGCTTCTTCCAGGGAAGGTAAACTGTGGCACAAGGACAATCAACAAGTCCTAGTATTCCGAAAAGGCAAATCTGAGAGTATAGGTGAGTCAAGTTACATCTATTACACTCTTTTTCTTTTCTTTTTTTATAGAAAAGTTGTAAACACTTGATAATGGAAGGGTGACTTGCGATGTGCAGTTTCGTAAATATGCTGAATGACTGGGAGTTTATGGAGGTCTCAGATTTCCTGGCTTTGAATTGTAGGCAGGTGGTGGAGGGTGTGGGTATGGATGAGATGGTGTGGGAGGGATCTTCGAAAGGGGTGTTTGAGGTTAGGTCTTTCTACCAGACTGACGGAGATTCCTCGGCCCACTTTCCCTTGGCAAGCAATTTGGAGGACGAAATCCCCTTTGAAGGTGGCTTTCTTTTCTTGGCTGCCCTTGGAAGTGTCCTAACTCTTGACAACCTCAAAAGGCGACATCAGATTGTGGTTAACTGGTGCTGCATGTGCAAAAAGTTGGGACAATCCGTGAACTATCTGCTGCTCCATTGCCCAGTAGCGAGGGATGTTTGGTCTATGTTCTTGGTGCGTTTGATATGGCTTGGGTTTTTCCAGAAACCATGGTGGACATGTTAGAGGCTTGGAAAGGGTGTAAAATGGAGAGATGAGTTAGAGATGCTTGGAGGGCCACCTTTGTTTATGATGGGGTTTGTGGCACAAGAGGAATAGGAGATCCTTTTGAGTCTTAGGAGTCTCCTATTTGGTCTCTCAAATACAACATACCGTCTTCTTTATTTTTTTTGGGTTCATGGGCGGAATTGTGTATCGATGGACATTCTTTTGGATTTTATGAATAGCTTGAAATTATAGTGTCGCCTTGGACAGCTTTTGTTTGCCCTTGGGAGAGTTCCCCTTTTGGGTGCCTTTAATGAAATCTTACTAATCAATATGACTATATATATATATATATATTATCCAAGAAATCAGCATATAGTCAAAGAACAGAGACAGCTGATGAGGCAACGGTAAATAATCATAATGGTCACTCAACAGGCAAAAGTTAATGGGCTGTTTCTAAATGCAAGATGCGTTGGCACTCAAAAGGCAATGTATAATAATGACATTGTATTAAATAATGTGTCTTGCCTTGCTATTGATAATTTTAAGAATTTTTTTTTCCCTAGTTGGTACTCACGCCCCCTCCTCGAGAGAACGTTTGCACCCAAGAGAAGTCGAACCTTAGACCTGGTGCTTCAAGTGACTTGCCCACTTGAGCCAACCCCTTGGGGGTTTAAAAAATATATATATAATTTTAAGAATTAACAATGGAAATCCAACATTTGATCTACAAACAGAAATACTGATTTTCAAAAAGAGAACATTGAAACTGAGAGTTGCAGCAAGTTAGAACTGAACTATTCAAGACAGATAAAGATGGAACAAACTAAGCTGAGATATGCCTTAACATCACAATGCTCACCCTCAAAATTTGGATACCAAGTACTTTGACTAATTCTATGATCCATAGCTTGAAAAAAAAATGATACTGATGGAATTTAGAAAATAAAAGTAACTGTAAGACAGAAGATATTGGACCCATCAAAATTTCAGCTCTAGATAAATATTACCAAGTTGCTTTTACAAATATCTACATGTTCATACATCACTTTTCAAAACTTAACAATACAACGTAGTGCATTCATGAGCAATGAGCATGAAGAACATACATACTGAGGAATCTGCGGACCGTTACCCAAAGCTCTAATATGTAAGAGTACACACGGTTCAATTAGACCAAAAGAGGGTGAATACGTGTTATGGATATTAATTTGTGGATAACTAATTTTTCAAATTTTCGTTAATCATTATTCAATTTTTAGTTAATTCATTAATCAAATGTCTCAATTGCAATCACGTAAACATAAAGCACTAAATAAATAAAAGTAGAGACATGAGATTTTTATGTGAAAACCCCTAAAAAGTGAAAAATCACTGAACTTTGTCCAGCCATGAACAATGCAACCAAGTTATCCAGATAATGGAACCTCTACAATCCCATAATTATATCTTGACCCAAAGTTACACTAGACTCTCCACCCGAGCTCTTGCATTTGTCAGTCAACAGATCCACTCCCCACGAGATCTGCTTCTCCAAGGTTGTTCTTCAATTTTTCTAGGCTGATTGCTCCTTTTTCTTCTTCTTTTTTATAAGTAGCTGATTGCTCATGTTTGATTACGCTAGGCACTTGAAGAGATATTCAGAGATACCCAATATTCAAATCCTAATACATTTTAAAATTCGGTTTTGGGAGAGTTTCCAAAAAGATGGTTTCACACAGGTATTAACCGAGACAGTGATCGAGTGCCCCTAGCTATGCTTCGATCCATTCAGCATTCAACCGATAGCCATTTTTTGAGTTCCAATCAATCGAGAATTTGGGATCAGAAGTTTCTTGACATCAGTAAAAAAAAAAAAATAAGACATTTGCTAGTCGATCCATCATTCTTCTTTTGCAAAATCCCTTAATAATTCAGTCGAATTCTTTGAAGAAAAAAAATATTATGATTAAAACCCAAGTTATGCAAAACTAAAAAATATTATGATTAAAACCCAAGTTATGCAAAACTGCTTAAAACGTTAGTTTAAGCCTTTTAAAGATCTTACCTAGGTCATAAATGGTCTACATGGTCTCTACTTACCTTATCACATATGTGATCGAGTTTGAGAGTTTTTCAGTATAAGCCTTTTAAGCCTTATATGCTAGAGAGTTGTAGAGATATTCAGAGAACCTATATAAAATAGTTCGGTTTTGAGTTTCCAAAAAGATGGTTTCACACAGATCTCAATCGGGAAATTGAAGGTATAAATAAATCAACAAATTATCTTCATTTGCAGCAATGCCAAAATGAAAATGAATATACATAATTACCTCCTTCTAGGAGCAGCAATATCTTCCACAGGACATGGCATTTCCAAATTACTATCAGTGTCATCCACTCCTTGTCTATCTGTAGTAAGTGGTACAGAATGAATATCATTTGGTGATCCCAAATGGTCAAACTGTTGCTGTTGAGGTTCCATATGAGAGCATATAATGGGTCCAACTACCTCCAAAGTAGGACGAACATTTGAAGGCAGCAAGAAAACTTGGTCACCATTTTCTTTGAGATTTAATGATTGAAAAAGCTTCTTCAGATGCTTAACCAAAGACTTTTCAGATAATCCTTTTATATCAACAGCTTGTCCATCATCAATCATTCGCAGAAGCTATGACAGAAAAACAATTTACAAGAAATAATCAATTGTACATAACTATATATGAACACTTAGTCATGCGAAATGGGTATAGGAAGAAATGAGAAAACAGGGGCATTGAAAATAAAACAAATTCTAAAAATTGATAATTATGGCTTTGGATCCCATAAAATTGGTCATATAGTTAGCCTGGTAATCAAATGTATCAAAAATCATGCTCAGGCTTGACCTAATGTGCATTGCTGGCATGTTAACTTTCTTGAGATGTGGACGCAGACTGGATGCCATAAGGATCACTTAGCAATCATCAACTCAATTATTACAAGCAATAGCAGTAATGTATAAGGTCTACCATTGACAAACTAGCTAATTTATAAATTTTCAACCATGCCAAGTAACAGTAAGAATGGGTAGCACAAGAGGCATCAAAAGAAATGCTAGAAATGGACATTCTAAGTGGTAAGAGTACCATAAGAACCAGGAGAAGTATTTATAGTTCAAATATTGGAAGCTTTGTCTCCTACATGTTGCCTTGAGCATGAAGACTTCTACTCAATTGATCATTCATACAACAAATGTTTTGCCTTATGATGTGGGATTTTAACATCATCAAATAATTTAAACAAGACAACGATAAAACCATTTGAATGATAATGCGGCCCCAACACAAAACCAAGCCTTACGTCAAGTAGAAATCTCCTCCTCCTTCCAAGTGGAATGTTGAGGGTTCAAGTCCTCTTAAAGGCAATAGCGGGTACATGTGTGAGTGACTTACCTATCAAAACAATAATAATTAATGCCCCAACACTATCCCTAATGCCACTATTGTCGTCAAGATGGCCATTCTTTCCCCCCTACTGAATCTACATTCCATCTCTCAAGATATAAGAGCAAACTACTATTTAGCATTTTGAAAATCTTACTCAATGAAATTGCAAGTGTTGTTGACTTGTTTCCTATATTCAACATCCCATTTAAGAACGAATACTATATAAGAACCAATAACTTAGATGTTGTCTGATAACCCAATTCTTCAGTATCGTTTTGATTACCCAATTCAGAACTTAATTCTAAATAGATTCAGCATATTTTAATTCAGTGTGTTTGATAATTCAATAAAGATACGACTCAAAAATAACTTAAAAGTTTAAGTGAGACGGGTCAAAGACTTCACTTATCATTGAACACTTAAAATTCAAAAATATATCGAATAACTTCTTAGTTTAAAGTTATAACTTAAATTTCCAGTAACTAAATTTCAGCTTTTAAAATTTTTAGTACTTATTTCAGTTTTTATCAAACAACACCTTTAGTTCTCACTCATCATAGAATTAGAAACAGAAACCCTAAAAAAATCCAAAATTGACATGCAAGTAAAATATGATCACTGCATTAAGAATATATATTTTCCATCTAACCCAACCAATAAAGAAACAAATGTCAAAAGCACCATCATTGGCAAACAGAGCAAAAGGTGATTGATGCACATTAAAAATTTATTCCTAAATTGATACACAAGAAACAGTGACTTTAGTTCTCACTCTCTCATAGAATTTTTTTTTTTTTTTTGATAAGTCACTCTATCATAGAATTAGAAACAAAAACCCTAACAAAATTTCAAATTTTGACATGTAAGTACAATTTGATAGCTGCATATAACAAATGTACCATCATTGGCAAACAAAGCAAAATGTGATTGATGCACGTTAAACTATAAGTCCTAAATTGATACACACAATAAACAGTACCTGCTCTAAATCACCTTCTACACCAGGAAATTTCTTCAATATATATCGAACTACACCTTCAGGTTCGTTCCGCGGACTCACTGGCTCCAATTTATCACCACTGGCGTCAGATTCGGACTCACCGTCCGACTCTGTGTCCGAATACTTTCTCTTCCCCTCTCGCCGCGACCTCCGATGCTTTTTCTCCCTCTCCTTTCTCTCTCTTCTCTTCCTTTCTCTCCTCTTCTCTCTCTCTCTCCTCGAACTTCCATCGCTCCGGTGGTGCTGACTTCGTCTGCCTCTGTGCCGTTTCGCAGAGGGTTCCACCTCGTCGGAGCTCGGCGGAGACGAAGATGACGGTGAAGGAGTAGTAGTGTCTTCCGAACGTCTTTTCTTCTTGGTTCTATTGCTCCGACTCGAATGGTCTCCCATATGAATGTAGAGAGAGAGAGTACAGGAGATGTAGAGAGAGAAAAATCGGCTCTCTCAGATGTTGGTCTCTTAACACTAGTCCGAGAAAATCTGTTCCTAGCTGTAAGCCTGTTTGGACCTTAGGGTCAGTTTGGTGCAATGGAAATTCACCCTTACACAAAATCAAAGAATACAATTTATTTTAGTTTGCAAAACAAGAATTACAGACCTTGATTTAGTTGATTTAGAAAAAAAAAATTAAAACAAAACCCATACATACAAGTTAGCAGTTGCAGAGAGAGAGAGAGGGGGCCGGGGCAAGCTTGAGAGTTGAGAGACAGCGGCTGAAGCTTGCGAACGGAAAACCCAAACTGGAACAGCGGGCGATGGATACTGAAAGATATGGGTTTTATCACTAAAATAATTGTTTCATATTTTTTATGCATTTGTCACATAAATATTATGCAATTTTTTAGTCCACCTTTTTTTTCATCTTTTATTGGTAATTTTTAATTTAATTCATTTATATTAAAATACTAACATTTCTTTTGCCTATATAATATATATTTCTTTTACTTATCTAGTATATAAGTTAAAGGTATAATATGAATTCAAAAAAAATATAATGTTTTTATCAAATTATTATTTATTTTTATATTACATAATTAAATCCATAAATTTATCTTACTATTATGCATTTTTATCTTAAAAAATATATAATAGTAAATTTATTAAATAGTTTCATTTCCTTTCTTTTTTTCAAACATGATTATTATCCTTTTCTTTCAACCAAACACGATAGGGGTTAAAATTATCATTCTCTTTCCGTTGACTTCCTTCGTAACTAATGTTATCCTTTTTTTTCTTTCCTACTGTACCAAACATAGCCTTAACACTTGTCTAAGAAAATCTGTTCTTAACTATTGCCTGTTTGGACCTTACCAAACACCGTCTAATCTATATTTGGACCACAACTAAGCTCAGTAGAACCCGCATTGGGCTGTTTGCTAATACCAAAGAATAAAATGGGATTAAGGGCCTGTTTTGAAGGAGGTATGATATTGGTATGATATTGGTTTGGGTGTTTTGGTTTTGGTTTCGGGGCCAATATTATGTTGGGAGTGGGCTGATGTGATATTGAATAGTGTTATAACAGATATGAAATTTGGGCAAAAACCCATATCACCAATTTGGTGATATTGGGTGATATGGCACTGTAGCGGTGGATATCAACCCAAAACCAAAACATATCAACCCTTATTTTTTACTGTAGTGGTGATATCAAGTATATAATATCGCATATCAGAAACCTAGCCATTTTTCAGCCTCACTTTCTCTCTCTTCACGCAGCTCTTTGGAGGAGATTTCAATGGCGATCTAAGTGTAGGTAACTCCATACACAACCTCTTCCACCACCGATCTAGCGGAGCTCCTCCACCAACGAGAACAACCATTTTTGCCTCTCATTTCTCTATATTCTTGCAGGTCGGTTGAGGCGATTTCATTTACGCCTCTCATTTCTCTCTATTCTCACATATCGAGGTTGGTAGACCATAGATCAATCCTTTTTGTCTGCAAATCTTTCAAAAACAAATACTAATTTCATCTCGGGCTCGGCTTTCCTATCATTTCTCTCTATTCTCTAAAACCCTAGCTCGGTGGCTAGCAAATCGAAAGTATTTCTTTAATTTTACATAATTACTAGTAGATGATTTTTGCCTTTATGAGCCAAACCCATCCAAACCCATCAATTCTCTGAATTGTTTTTTAATTTTTTATTTCTATATAACCTATGACTGAAATAATATAGATGATCTATGACTGAAATAATTTCTATATAACCTATGACTGAATTGTTTTTTAATTTTTAATTTATATTTTTAATTCTTATATAATGTAGATGATCTGTGTATATATAATATATATATATATATATATATATATATATATATATATAGAGAGAGAGAGAGAGAAATATGCCAACTTTATAAAACAACAACTATTGTACCTATACGTATATTCATCTGAGTAATCAAATTGATGAGCTTTTTGAGGCTTATCCAACTTTCTCATAACAATTACTATTGTACATTTGTGTGACTAAATAATTATTTTTTTAGCATACTTGGAATATACAATATTATGTCAAATTATTTGGTTCATTCCACTTCAAGGCTTCCTTCCATATTTTTATGTGATTTTAGTTTATAATTTAGATATTGATCATTCATATATTTCACGTGTAACCATTCTATTATGGATTTTGCTTCATTAATTTTGAATAATTCCGCATTTTATGATTTTTTGGTGATGGTTAATCTTATCACAAATTGCTACAAAATGTTTTTGTCAGTGGAAACTCTCTTAGTTCTATCATTGATGGGCATCATTAAATACCCTTTGATTGACAAACACTGTGTGTAGTAGCATTGAATTATCACTTTAAAATTAGAATTGTATAAACAATTTACTAAAGTGTTAAATTTACTTAATAATAATCAAATGGACATGAACAATGACAATGTTGAACAATACCCATCAAGAGACATTCATTCTCTTGATGGTGAGAATGGTGAGGACGTTGTAGTTATGGAACAAACCGATGCCGCTGTTTGGTGTGATGCCCATTAAAAGAAATTCATGCTCTTGATGGAAGAAGAGGTTGGAAAAGGAAATCGTATAAACACGACTTTTAATGCAATTTGGTGGACGCATATTGTGGATACAATGTTGATGAAAACTGGAAAGAAGTATACGAAGAACTAATGTAGACAAAAATTCAACATAATTAGAGCATTGTACAAAGATTGCAAACAAATATTATTTAAGACTGGTGTAGGGTATAACAGTGAGACAGGGATGGTTGTGTTGGAAGCTGAAAAATGGGTTTGATTGTGCAAGGTTAGTATTTCAATACGTGTCTATTTACCATACATAAAGTTAGTAATTAGTGATTTAGTATTAAAAGGGTTTGATGAACAATAATTGTAAGCTAATAACGTGCAGGTTCTCAAGTATGGCAAAAGAATAAAAAAAAACAGGGGTGTAAGAATTATAAGCATATGGTAAGGTTTTTTGGGGGATACACATGCTTCTGGTAAGCATGTTCATCCTTATATAAAAGCACCCAAACTTCACCAAGTGGCAACACATGAAGCTGCAATTCATAACATTGAGGGCAATGCGGACATGACTGATGTAGAACGACCTATTGTAGAAGGACCTATTGACTTCAGTCCTACTCCCAAACCTGTAAGTAAGAAACCTAAGAAAGAAAATTTTTCCTCCATAATTTCTCAAGTGATGGCATGTTTAACTGATATTGAGAACACGAAAGCCGATCGAATTGTCAAAGCCATAACAGAATCATCTTCTAGTTGTCCACCATCTCGTGTTAAAGAAATGCCTGAAGTTCAATCTCCCAATAAAAAAGGAAAAAAAATGGATCCCCAGCTTGAGGAGTGCCTTAGGATCGTCAACACATTAGTGGGGATTGATGATGCCCATTATGCTAAGATCATAAGGATGTTTGGTGAGGACAAGGTGTGGAGGGACATATTTTTTCAAATTCCTGATGACAGAAAGGTTGGATGGGTAATGAATCAGCCTTTGTGATATGTTTGCTATCTTACTTTTATGTATTTTTGGATGACTGTTTTATAACTCCTTTTACATTATTATTGAATGACTGTATTTAATTTCTTTATCTATTACTTCTACATTATTGTTGGATGACTGTATTTAATTCCTATATCCACTGTTTTTACATTAATGCTGAATGACTGTATTTATGTTCTATATATATTACTTTTACATTATTGCTGGATAATTATATTATTTGCTATGTATTTTTATCCTTTTTGTATTATTGCTGAATAAATATATTATTTGCATTATATTTTTTCATTTTCCTTATATCATTGTGTTGTTTAATTTTCATTACAATAACTATTTATGTTTATTCTTAAATAGGATAGTAGATATGGATATAAGGACAATATTAACCATATATGATGATGAGGAGGAGGAGGAAATTCTTGTATTGATCGCAGTCGTATATAAATACTATCATAAACATTTTTATAGGCAACGTTGTAGGGATTCCATGTTACAAGAAGAAGATTACATATTCGAGATTTTAAATGAACATGAAGATAGGTGTTATGAAAATTTTCGGATGTACTCCAATACCTTTAGGGCTTTGTGTCGTGAGTTGAAATTGTTAGGATTGAAAGATTCTACATTTGTAACAGTAGAAGAACAAGTTACAATTTTCCTACTTACCGTGTCTCACAATGAAAGGAATCGTGTCATTGCTGAAAGATTCCAACACTCTACATCCACAATTTCATATCACTTTCATGCTGTCTTAAAGTTAATTTGTGAGTTAGGGACTAAGGGCTTGTTTGGTACATAAGAATAGAATGAGATAAGAATGGAATGCAAGTGGGAATAGAATGGGAATGATGTAGGAATAAAATGATCATTCTCAATCCACTGTTTGGATACAAACAGATAATGGAATAACCATTCTCATTCCTATGTTTGGTTAGATTAAATAAAAAGTTGGAATGGAATGATTTATAAATTGGTTTCTCTAAATTACCCTTACTTATAATATATCAATTATATTAAAATAAAATGACATATTCTTATTATATAATAAAATTAGCTTATACCAATTAATGCATTTTTATAAAATGCATATATATATATATATATATATATATATATATATACAATTATCTTATAATGTGTAATGTTTTTTTTTAAAAAAAAAAAATTATTTTATAAAATGATAGACAAATGTATCAGCTGCTTGCCATAGTATCAAAGATGTAACAAATATTTGTTAAAAATGATCTAATATAGGTTTAAAAGAATACTATTACTTGAATTTACACATTTGCATCACATGCTTGCCAAGAAAATAGAAATAATCAAACCAAGACACCATACTTGGCCTACAATAATAGAAACATTAAAAGGACCCAATAAAGTATTACAAGCTGAAAGATTTGTGATTTTAATTACAAAAACAGATTGATCATTCACAAACCATATTATAGGAGTTACATAAACATAAAAAAAAAACTACATAGTTCATCCAGATCATATTCAAAAGTAAACTTAATAAGAGTTATATAAATATCCAAAGACCACAGTTACTACTTGTTCATCCAAAAACCATATCCAAAAGTTTAACTAGTATTTAAATAACTACTTCCTTAACCCATGCTTCCTTCTCCTCATCTTTAATTGTAAAAAAAATATCCAGCAAGTCATGGTCACGAGCAAGTTTAGCAGTTGCTTTATGTCACTCAACCATGCTAAAACCGAATATTTTCTTCAGTTCTTCATTTAGCTTGAGTTTCATATCTTT